TCTTGTCTTCCTGGGATTGATAAAGGTTTAATGAGATGTCTGTGAAAGCACACTGTACACTGCACTGTGCTATGCAAACGTACGAGTATGATTATTTAAAGAAACAGTCCCCAAATTTCCCTGTATCTCCTATCACATCCCTCATCCTGTGATTTGAGTTTTTCAGGGTCCCTTTCTCAAAACTCTGCCTCCATGCCTTCAGGAGGCCATAACCCTTTAAGCCTAGCTTTTTACTGATAATTTAGTATGGGAGGAAGGAAAAATAAAAGTCTTATTTAGTAAAATTATACCAATCTTGGAGAAATATGGAAATACCTAGCAGAACATTATGTCAGGCAGTTTCTAGAGCTATTTTTTTTTCTTTTTTCAGTGATCTCAAACATTTAGAAATTAGCTAAGAGAGACGTCTTAATATCCCCTGCTAGGTCGGTCTGAGTCATCAGGCACAGTCATTTGTCACCCCCTAAAAATTTCCAGGGAAAAATCTAGTTATCTTAGAGAATACTAGAGACTATCATTATGAAGATGCACGGCTTGCTATGCCCGTTTTTCTCCTGTTGTGGTAGAAAAGTGTTAGATCTAAGCTTAAGTCCATGGCTTCACCTTTCACTGTGTGGTCTTGGGTAAATAACTTATTATCTTTAAACCGTGTTACTGGTTTCCTCTGAAAAAAACAATGAAGTCAATAATGCCAGTCAAGTGGGCGATTTCAAGTTACTGATTATGGTATTTGTTTTAGTGTGTGTCTGTTGGTTTTATGAGACAGAGGCCACACACATAGCCCAGACGAAGAAGCCCTATTATGAAGATGTGTGAAGTAACCAAGAAACTCTTGGAAATCAGAGAGCAGGAGGCACACGGGGGCTGGGCCTCACCACTTGTAGAGGTGGGGCCCTCCCATTCTAACTCAGCAGTGAAGGTTGGAAAGCCTCATCTTGGTTTAGAGAAAGGCTGCTGGGTGGACTCTACTGCTCTTTGTGTTTTTCTTCTTTTCTTGTAATTCCCCAACCCACTTGCTTTTTCACTTACGCTCTCCTAAAGCGCAGGTCAGTCAGGTCCCTCAAGCTCAGTTCTAGCTCTTGACATCTGTATATTTCTGATACTAAGTTCTTCACTGGCTGCATACTTCCCAATTCATAGCTTTTGAGAAAACGTCCAGCTCTTAGAGCAGCTCCGTTATTTCATGCTAAGAAATGGGTTCCTGCTGAGATTATGAATGGCTCACTCCTCCCAACTGGGTTCTACCACTTGTATCATCAGCGGTCAAAGAGATAAGAAGTTATAAACATGGCACCTTGGGCGTGCCTCTTCAGCGAAGATGGTGGGTCAAGTTCCCATAAAGGGGTAGTACATGCTGTGTGAGGGCTGGGGTTCCAGAATTTGAATCCTGACTTGACAGGTTCTAAAGATGTGACCTTAAGCAAGTTACTTAACCTTGCTGAGCCTTAGCTTTCTCATCTGAGAAACAGGCACGATCGTTATAGTTATAGGAGTATTGCTGAGTTTTGAATAACAAAAGTAAAGCACTTAGCACAGTTCCTGCCACAGGTTGAACCCTCAGTGAATGCCAGCTATATCCATCTCAGGAGGAGGTGTGTGGGCAGGCACCACAAAACAGGTCTGATATAATAAAGGGACTCCATGAACAACTGTTCACCTCCCCTCTGTGTTGAGATACACAATACTGACCCATCCCAGTCCCCCAGGATATATCTGCTTTCTTTCCTGAAGGTGGGTGGCACTCTCCATGACCCTGACGGAATCACTGCATGCCTTACTGAGGAAGTGGGATGCTATAGACTCCGATAATGTCAGTCTAAGCCCTGCTCCCTGGAATTGGGAAGCTGGCTCTCAGTTTACCATCAGTGTGCCCATTTCATGCTGGATGGAGACTGAATGGAGGCAGCCTCCCTGAGTAGCGTAATGAGCATCCAGGATAAAGCCTTCTCCAGGAGGCTGGCACGTTTACAGAACTGTCAAGTAATTTCTCCTGGCAGTTCTCCATCAGGGTCTTGGGAAATCATGGGTTTTCATACAAAGGAAAACACAGTGAGCTAAAATATGTGTGAGATGAGATGGGGTGTCTGATTTGGGACACAGAAAGCCCTTTCATTGTTGTACAGTGATGCATTATTTATTTGGTTGTGTTGGAAAATGGGCTATTGCACAGAAGTGAAGCTAATAGATAGCCGAAGTTTTCTCATTTCAGCTCTGAAGCTATTTTTCACTCCTGTTTAACCAGAGTCTTCCTAAAATGTATCACATACTTCTGCCTTCTTAACAGAAGTTGCAAATTTAAAGGCTAACGTTTACTGAGTACTCACTATGTAGGTAGCACCGCATTTAACTGCTTAACTCTATTAATTTCCGCCCCCCCACAAGCCTGCGAGGTAGGTACTATTATAACATCCATTTTACAGATGAGGAAACTGAGGCTTAGAGAGGTTAAGTAACTAATCCAGGTTACACAGGTAGAGGTGGCGGCATTGGGATTTGTGCCTGGGTCTCCCCAAGCTCTTTAGAAACTGGCCATGTCATTGGAGGACATTTTGGTTAATAAATGACCTTAATAATTATTGACTTTCAAAGTTGGATCTTTGAAAGTCTACACATTTCAGAAATGTGTCCGTTACTCTGAGCACGCCTTGACTGCTTTCTTTTTTTTTTTTTTTTAAAGATTTTTTATTGGGGAATTGGGGGGATGGGAACAGTGCTGGGGAATTGGGGGAAGGGGAACAGACAAGTTGCTGTCGTTTTG